CCCACTGGAGGGCCCCCTCGCCCTGCTGTCCATGCTCCATTCCGTTTAAATTTCAGGAGGAACTTCTTTTTAAATGTTTTTATCGATTTAAGAGAGAGAGAGAGAGAAACATCAGTGATGAGAGAGCATTGTGGACCTGCTGCCTCCTGCACGACCCCCACTGGGGATGGAGCCACAACCCGGGCCTGTGCCCTTGACCGAAATTGAACCCGGACCTTTCGGTCCACAGGCTGACGCTCTATCCACTGAGCCACACCGGCCAGGGCTAATGTATTGTTTATTGATTTCACAGAGGAAGGGAGAGGGAGAGAGAGAAACATCAGTGATGAGAGAGCATCCTGCATCGGCTGCCTCCTGCACGCCCCCCACTGGGGCTGGAACCACAACCCGGGCCTGTGCTCTGATGGGAATCCAACCCTGACCTCCTGGTTCCTAGGTCGACGCTCAGCTGCTGAGCCAGGCGCCGGTCCAATATGAGCCCAAGGAGATGAGACCCACTGGTCCAGAGGCCCTGAGCGGAGTGAATAGTGAAATGGGAGCTCGGCCGCGAGGGAGGGAGGCGCCCAGGCCGGCTTCTGGCCCACTCTCCGCACCCAAGTGCTCACAGCGTAAAACAGGTCCCGGGGTTCGTTGTCTGGAGTGTGGCCCCGGCAGCCCCCTCTCCCCGACTCCCTTAAGGCCGCTGTGGGATGTGCACCCCGAAGCTGCCTCCATGAGAAAGGGTTGCTCCGCTGAGGACACCCCGTGAAGTCGTGGGGATGAAACTGCTCCTCAGGTGACATATGGCCGCTCTGTCCCACCGCCTGCCCTGGACACACCGGACCAGTTCTGGGCTGATGTCCTAGAGTTTGAAGCCACTCAACCTTTCCTCGTTGTTGCTACAAACAGCATGTGTATTGTATCGACCGCAAAGGGAACCCCATATTCACACAAGATGGGCAAGGGGCGACTTGGTTGCTAGAGAGGGCAACTCCAGAACAGACGGTAAGGTGATATTTGTTATTTAGAAATCTGAGCGATGGATGCTCTGATGCTAAATTTTTATTTTAAAATTTCTTTTTCCTTCCCTCAAAAGTGAAATGAGCTTAGCTGTCCAGGAAAACTTTACACCCATCTAGAGAGAGAGAGAGAAACTCACCAAGCGTACCTATAGTTTCAACTCTGATACATGGAAGCGAAAATCAATTCTAAGATACGTCTCTTATTAACAAAAATTGTCACTAAAATGCTATTAAACATGATTTTTTTAAAAAGATCGATAAATCAAAAATGTTTCTTATGAACGTTAAAACATTAACAGAGTGTGTGGAACTAAAGGAAATAGCATTGCAACTTTTTTCTTAAATGTCGATGAGCTAAAAAAGAAGTCATTTCCCTGAGACTCAAAAATACCTTTGGGATATTAGGTGTGTGTACAGATTTTTTTCTGTCAATATTCATAAGAGATGTTTGAAAAAAACAGTTTCAATTTAATGGGAAAAGTAAGTTTTTTCATAAAACGCTTGGAGCCTTAGCAGCACCCCCATCCACACCCCCAGTTTTGGAAGTCATATGTCCCTGTCCACTTCATTTCATCATCTCGAAGAATTCCGTGTGAACACATGCAGCTGTTTATAGTTATGTTTTCTGCTCCAAGTTATCAGTCCTAGATCCCCAAATAAATCCCTTCTTAATTAAAATCAACACATCCCATTTTTCTTAAAATTTCCACGAAGGCCAGTGCCTGAAGCAGATCCCCCTTTTCCTTGGGGGAAAAATGGGGAAAAAATGGCTTCATTTCTCATCCTGCTGATCAACATGAGAGCAACAGAGAGACCCAAGGCACACAGATTGAAAGAACCAAAAGGAGCCACCTTAGCTAAGTGGATGCGCCATGAAAGGTATCACTTTCCAAGAGGGGACTTCAGCCAGTGCCCGTACCCCCTGCTGAGGCCTCTAGCTGCCCTCGTACCCCCTGCTGAGGCCTCTAGCTGGCCCCCCCTATTCCCTGCTGAGGCATCTAGCTGCCCCCCCTATTCCCTGCTGAGGCCTCTAGCTGGCCCCCCCTATTCCCTGCTGAGGCCTCTAGCTGGCCCCCCCTATTCCCTGCTGAGGCATCTAGCTGCCCCCCCTATTCCCTGCTGAGGCATCTAGCCCAGGGGCACAGTGACCCTGTCTCCCAGCCCCTAGGGGAGAAGTGTTTGGGGATCCCAGGCTGACACTGAGTTGTGTGTGGGGTAGTGAGGAGGCCCCCATCAGAGGAGGCTTCTCACGGGTCTTACACCGAGAGACACGGTAGGAGCCGCACCGAGGAACTGGGGGCGCGGCCGGGACTCGGGCTGTGGAAGTGCCTTGAGGAGACGGGCTGTGTCAGGGGGACCCCATTTTCCCTCAAGATGCATCCTCGCTCTCTCGGCCAGCCCAGCCCCAGCCCCAGCAGCCCCAGCAGACGTGCAGTTTTCACTAAGAACACGGGCCTGTTCCTTCCTGTGGGGACGGTGCCATCGAGCGTTTCTCATTCTTTTGTGGATTCCTGTTTGAATGCAGTTCGTATCAGTAGTTTATCTTGGAGTGAGAAACCATCGAGTGGAAAGTTTTGCTTCATCCATATCTTAAACGCATGTCTCTCCCGAGTCTAAGCAGAGATGTGTCCTCTCTCGGCTCAGGGCGGGGCTGTCCGTGGCTAGAAGGGCGTACCGTTCGGATGTGCACTCACTCACGCTCGTGTGAAGGGAACGAGAAGAGGTGCCCCCAAGGGCTTTTCCAGAAATGCATTGTTTTGGTTTCAGAATAAAACCCTATTTTTTTATGCGCCGCACGTTCTGTCCTCCCCTGGGAAGCACAGGCCTTTCCCTTTCCCAACGGTTAACCATGTGCACCTTCCCCTTGGCGAGTGGCTCACGCATTTCCTGTGCAGAAGACGAAGCCACCGACTTCCCCTTCCCCCCGTGATGACGAGCCTGCACCGTGTACCCCTTTCTTAGGACGCTAGATGGAAACCAACCCGGGCTTTTGCACATGTAAACCTAGAGCATTTTGGTCACAAATGGTTCGCATTTGTGGAGCCTTTGTACGTACTTTGCATATATCTGAAAAGCGAACGTCTCCCTGGATTCCCCGACGGGTTCGTGTACGGAAGCACAGCGACGTGTATTTTTGAACGCATCGTAGGACCTTGAGACTTTATAAAGCCCGTTTTTACGACGTTGAGGCAGTTGTGTCGGGATCACCCCCTTTTGTAATTCACAGCACACGGCGCAGGGCACGCGTGTGGAGGAGTCGGAGCACTTCTCCGCCCTGGCAGTCACCTTCAGGTCACTTCCCGGGTCCGAGTCCCCTGGGATCGACGCATCTGACTGTTTTAGGGACCCGTGGGCAACCAGTACCCCTCAAAACTCCCCCGAGGGTGACGCTCAGAGTCACGCCTGCCTTTTTAGGGGACGAGTCACACACTGGCCCGTGCACTTGCTGTCTTTGTAGAGAATCTGTGTGAATGTCCAGCGCAGACCGAGCGCTGACAGCTCGCCCTCTGATTCCAAGTGTTTTTAGCTTTTGTATTCTCTCGTCAGAGGAGGCCCCATCCCAGTGTGTACGTACGGCCGTTACTACTGTATTCACTGCTGAAAACTGGAACCACCTGAAGATTTGTAAAATGTCACATAGTTCATTAAAGATAATGAGATAAACCTGAAAATGTACTCGATGCGTTGTTTACTTTGGGCAAACGATGACATATTCCTCTCTAAGTTGTCATTTAATCCAGGAAGAACGCAAGTATTAATTTTTAATTTATTCTGCTCCCTACAGTAAAATAGCATCATACCTCTGATTACCCCTTGTTGATAGGACGAACTTGCTCTCTCTCTTTGCTTGTTGTGTTCTCCAAAGTTCACATAAGATAGACGTACTAGTTTTCCTCCAATGGGAAGACTTAAGATAATGGATAGAATGTGAAATAAATTGCGGTCCCCGAAATACCCAACCCAGACGAGGATACACCACCTCCTTCCCACCTTCAGGAAGTTCTC